GGACTGAGGCAACACACACATGCAGCTGCTGCCCAGAACCGGTGTTGTTGGGACAGCTGCCCCCAGCCTCCCCACCCTCCTGATTTTTTATTTTAAAGAAACTCCACTGAGAAATAGGTCCAATTATTTTGATACAACATTCTTGTTACATTCTTAAGAATGGAGTGCTTGTTAGTTGCAAACCCTTCCAAGTATATCATTCAGCATTTTAAACTGCAGCACCCCTCTTCCCTCCTTTCCCTCCCCCCCCCCAAAAGAGAAGTGATTGAATTTGCTGGAATACTTAAGCCTTGGCTCTTTATATTTCCCGGTTTGATCCTGTGCAGAGTCTGATACGTCTAAATCCACAGACTTCAGTGCATTTAGGAGCAGCTAGCTTGGCCTAAAACTGGGTTGCAAACGTGTATTGATAAAGCGCTGTTGATTTTGTGATAGAAATGGATTCTTGTAAGAAGGTCAAAGTTGTAAAAGGGAGTCTCCAATCTGGGAGCCACCAAAGGAAAAAAGTCTTGATATCAATAATGCTTGTTCTCATCATCAGTTACATTGGGCCTCTTGACTTAAGTCTCAGTGCATAGGAAAGGTTGTCCAAGTGTGGTCTGTCCATAAGGGTTCAGGATTTAAACTTACTATCTCCCGGAACAATGTATCTGTTTTCCAAATGTGGCCAGTTATGGATAAAACTTACTATATAAACCATCCTGATCTTTTTGTTTTATTTCAATTATTTTTCCCTCCATGTCTTATTTGGAACAATTTATAATAAAACTATCAAGTCCTAACTATTACCCAGCAAGAAATCAATGAAATATAGCATTTAAGACATTGTTAAAGAAGCCACACTAAGATAATTAAGGTAATGTCAAATTCTGTTTTATTAGAACTCTGAGCTCTAATAGATTGCCATCATACTTTGCCTTAAACAGTTGTTTAGCATGCATCACACACATTTCTTTGCTACTCTCTTGCAGGCAACCCAAAAGAATTGAAGTTCTTTCCACTTTTAATATAGCATAATAGACCAGTTAAGCAAAACATTCTAAACTCTAACCATGTGAAAGATGAGGGAGCACATGTACCTGAGGCTTGCTGTAGCATGTTCCTACTTGCACATGGCACCCTAGGAACTGTAGCTTAGGCACTCTTGGTCCTACTGGCATGATGCTATCTGTTTCATAATATCTTTAAAGTCTTATAGATGCTCAGATGAATTAGAAGTGAATGAAAATTGAATGCATGAATTTTATTCTGACCATCTGTTTCTGAGAAAAGGGCTGCAGTTGTAGGCCGGTGTTTGTGACCAACTTTAAGTGGCTCTAAAACATGAGACACTTTCAAGGAGGAGAAAGTTACCAAGGATTCTACTTGTGTTAGGTGTTATCTCCGGTTGTTCAGGCTGTATGTCTGTTAATGCTAATGCTGGGGAACACAAACAGAAACACATATTGCAACTGGTTCACTGGGGTGGAAACCAAGTGCAAGTTTAGATAGACCTTTTCATCTGTTCCAGTAGGACTCTTCTTATACTTGGATACTGGACATATGTGATAACTTTGCCAAATATCTAGTTTTCTCCTATAACATTTTCCACATACTCAGCTGTCATCCTGCAGTTCCCATTATTTCTCCCCCCATAATCTGTCATTGAGTGCATCTAATGTAGTGGATAAAATGGTGGCCTGGAACAAATAGGGTGATGGATCAGATTTGGAAACTGGGATAAAACAATGTATAGTAGCTAAAATTAAAAATGAAAACCATACATTATAAACAATTACATGTATCATGATTAGACATTCTGAAAAGGACAGTTAAAATTATTACTTATCCTGAGGAAAGGTCCTAACATATCTGCCCCAAATGCTGGATAAAATAGCCAAGTCTTTGCCATCCTTTCTGAGGATGGGAGGGGGGTCATCTGAATATCTGGGAGCTACTGTTGTGGGGGGGGGGGGAGCATCTGAAAAGGCAGGTTTCTATGGCCCTGTAGGCCACAGTCTCTGATTAAGGGGACATGTGAAGGGCCCACCCTACTGGATCTAATTGGTGGGCAGATATTACCAGGAGAGTTCTTCCTGTCTAACCTGGTGCTTACCCAACATGTGTGATGTCAACCACTGTCTTCGGCCAGTCAACTGGCTGTAATGGGAGCAAAGTCTGCTTGTTGGAGGGTTGGCCTTGTTTTCATCAATGGCTTGTTAGTGCATTGTTGACAACCTTCCCTCCTGAAAAATTGTGTTTCCAGGCCTCTTTCAGCGATGGAAGGCTCCCTCAGAAGAACAGCCCTGCAGACAAATGGCCACCTCTAGTTATGCCTGGCGGCACAACAAAACTCTCTATACCTCGTTGGCATTGGGCGTCTTCGCAGTTGCAAATGCGTTCTATGTAAGTAGAAAGGCCTTGGGTGTCCAAGAAAAGGAACCCAGTCTCCTCTAACAAGGTGGCTACCCTAACCTGTACTCTTGCTTCCAGTGCAAACTTGGGAAAAGTGGAGCTCCCCTGCGCCCCTATAGTATTATGTTAAATGTTGCCTTTTTCATTGTACAGGCATTCGTGATTTTGAAGAGGGCTCGACAGCGAGATGTAGACCGTGCAGAGAGGCACGCACGCATGGAGCGCCAGATGAATGCAAATTCCCATTCAGGTAGGAGCCAGGTTGTAGCAGTTAGGCTTTTATAGCTAGGATTGGCAGGCTTTCTGTTTCAAGTAGGAATTCTAAGTGGCTCTTCTAACACTCAGTAATGCACAAAAATTCCATTGAAATCTAAGGTAGCCCTCGCTGTCCTTAAATGCAGGTTCAGAAATTGGGGCAATGGACCATAATTAGGCCCACTCGAGGATCGGGGAAGACAAAACAGTAAACAAAACAGTTTTCTTAAATAGTAAACAAAGCAACAGTAACAAAATAAAAGTGGACCGGGAAAGTGTTGCAGTCATGGAACCTGAATTTACTTGCAGAAAGAATAGGAGAGAAAGTTTCCGACATTGTAGTGCAACTCATCTGAATGCAGTCCTGAGATGCACCCGGACTGATTTCCCTTAACGGAAGGAAGCTCTTCAGGGCAGCAGGGAGAATGGAGTAAACTGTCCTGGTGTTATGATTCAGCTCTTAATAGCTGTATCAGACAGCTGTTAAGTAGCCAGCACATGATGTAAATGATGTAAAATGCATTCTATGTATCTGCACTTGATATCCTGCCAAACTGCATCTTCTCTCTTTTCAGAAGCACGGAAGGTGAGAGAGAGCCCTTAAAAGCAAACAAAAATCTGGTTTCCCCCCAGCCCACCCCACGGTTAAGTTAGTCTTTCTTCTATGAGACATGGGAATAAAAAGGCAACTCTTCTTTCACTCTGATGAATGTTAATCCAGCAGAGGTGGAAAGAAAGTGCAATTGAGAACTTTAAATTTTGTTTCTGTGGAATGATTAGCTGATAATTTTGGGAGATTTTGGACCCTCTTGGGAGTGTGGGAAATGTGTTATATTGCATAAGACCATTGGTCCACCTAGATTAACTTTATCTACAAGGCTTGGATTGATCCCTTCAGAAGTTGCTACTAAACTGTAGTAATGTGATCAAAAGGATAAAGAATTATATACATATGAAAAAATATATGTCATTGCTTTAATGAACTATTTTGGGGAAAGGGATTCTTTTAATCCAATGTCATTCATTCATTCATTCATTCATTCATTCATTCATTCATTCATTCAACCAATTTATACAGCTGCCCATCTCACCACAGGCGGCTCTGTGTGGCATACAACAAAGCTAAAAACAATAACTATATTAAAAACATAAAAATAAAAATAAAACAAAGAATAAAAGGATGTTAAAATATTTTTAAAAAATTGAAAAAAAAACATATCCAAAAGGTATTTTTGCTGATATGGAGAAAGCCTGTCTGCAGTTTTGTGCATATGCTAAAGTGTGCGTTGAGCTGCTTGCCTGCCTGCCCACCTCTCTCTCAGCTGGGTTTTTCCACTGCTGTTGGCCAATTGCTCTGCTGGCTATCCCGCTGACTCGGGTGTGGAAATCTCAGCTGAATGAACTTTTCCCATTATTTCAGGGGAAGTCCAGCCACAAATTTGGTTAGTTGCATCCAAAGTCTGTTGAACTGAGGTCTGTTAATTTGAGGATTTACCATATTTTAATGTTGATCAAATTAAATTAAATTTAAAGTTTATCTTGGTGTCAGCAGATTATTTATCCTGGCCTTGCTCCCTTTTTGGAGCATGCCCCCCACACTTGATGGCAACTCAAGACTCTTAAAAGTTGTACATGCCTATCTTAAGTAACCAGTGGCAGTTCACCAGATTTTTTTGCAGAACTTTTTCAAGCCCCTGCTATGACATGCCAGAGATTGAACTTACTTGCAAAATGCTGCCTTGTTGTGCTACCTCAGCCTCCTATGGTGGAACATCTGATACTAGCTTTAAATAAAGTCTGCAGAAGCAGGCAAGAATTGTTCTCTAGCAAGTGCTGAAGTAAGGTTTAGTTGCCAACCCAGTCTGTTATGGAATGGGAAAGGCAGTACTTGTTCTTTGCCTTGGATAGCAAAAGACCTAAGAAAAATGTGTATGTGATGCGTATGGACTTAGAGTTATGATTCTTGTCTGGCGCAGAGAGAACAAGAGCATTTTTAGCTCCTTACTAGCAAGGAACTCAGCTGGCAGCAGGAAGAAAAGAGTAAGGCTCAGAGCTCCTGCACTTCAGCTTGTATTTGTTTTCTTCCTTCTTCCCTTTCTTTGGGAAAGTGAGGAGTTAGGTTTTGCTCAGAATATTTTTATTACTTGCTGTTGCCTGCAGCTTCACAGACAGAGGCCGTTCCTCGTCCAGAAGTCCCATCCCATGCTCCTTTCCTGCTAATCGGGGGAGGCACCGCCGCTTTTGCTGCTGCCAGATCCATCCGGGCTCGAGATCCCGGGGCTCGGGTAAGCACCCCAAGTTTCTTGTTCTTTCTTGGTAGCTTTTTGTGGCATGTTGAGATGTCGAATGGTGTGTTCCTATTGTCCTGCATTTCAGGTGCTCATTGTGTCTGAAGACCCTGAACTTCCCTACATGCGCCCTCCTCTTTCCAAAGAACTTTGGTTTTCTGAAGATGCAGATGTCACAGAAACCCTGCGGTTCAAGCAATGGAACGGCAAGGAACGGAGGTGGGTTTTTGGCTTTCCCCTCTCCTCCCTGTCAAAAATGATAGTTGTGCGATGCCCACGTTTAAAACTTTCATCCAGGGATCCACAGAGAAGAGGTGGCTGCATCCCAAGGAGTACTCCTAGCTTCACAAATCACTTAGTGATGAAAGCAGCTTTCCAGGCCGACCTCAAAAGCTCAGGATCCAGGAGTCTCTGTACTTGGATTAAACGCTCCATACATCTACATTAAAATATTTTCTAGCCGATCTCAACCCTTGCAGCTCATGATTCAGAGCAACTGTGCACACTCTAGCTCAGTTAAGAAATATCAGATATGCCTTAAGTATTTAGAGTTCATGAATGCTTGCTCTACATACAAAAGGTTGGTGGACTGCAACAATTTTTATTAAATACAAAATTACCCTGCCTTTTGTGTAAAGGAACCTAATCCTTTCTCACCAAAGAGTTTTCTTTTCATTGTTAGCTTTGTTTGGGAATGCTTCTCCCATCTTTGTTGATTGGAAGGAAGGAAGGGAGGTTTCCAACGACTGGGAAATCCTTAAATCTGTATGATGAGTCAGTAATAAACACAATAAAAATAGGCATTTTGTACAGTTTTACTGAAACTAACCTGTGGTTGGGGTGCTCAGGGGTGTGCTCCAGATGCCTTGGCTTGAGTATCCCAATTTTTACTGCCTTTTTGAAAGAATGGGAAAGTGGTCTTGATGGAGATTGCAGAGTTCTGAGTTTCGTCAAAGAATCTCTGCTCCTCATCACCATCTGCCTAGGTCAGGTTCTCCATCTTTGCATTTTCTTCCTGTGTTGGGATTGCGGCTCCCAGAAGTCCGCAGGAAGCTACGGCTCAAGTACACCTGAAGGACAGCTGTTTGGGGAAGGGTGGTAGCGAGACTGTGAAACTGTACCTCCTCTGAAGATCGTAGTAGATGGGGATTTTTCCAGGAAAAGCGCAATTCCTAAGGCAGGGGTGGACAAGCTGTGGCTTATTCTGTGCAGCCCAGAGCCTGATTTCCAGGGCTGCCTGCCAGCAGCCAGTCCTTCCTCCAACAGCATATAAGATGGGGAAGTGGTAAACATATATCTGTCTGCCCCATGTTCTTTTGACATGGGTATCTTCACAAATCTCCCCTGAAGAAATGTGAATTTTTGCAGAAGTAATGGCAGTTCATAGTGAAGTCTTTGTTTTTCTCTCCTAACTGACCTTGCTTCTTCTCCCATCCCTGCAGTGTATACTTTCAGCCACCTTCTTTCTACATATCCCCTCGTGACCTGCTGTTTGTAGAGAATGGTGGAGTAGCTGTCCTCAGCGGAAGGAAGGTTAGTGGAACATGGATCAGAACTGTTAATATTAGGTCCAGCTGCCTTTTGTTTTTAACAGATTTTTTACTCGGTCCATTAACTCTTCTTCCTGTGTCCCAGGGCAGCTGAAACATCCAAAGTGTACAATAAATAAAAATAAATATATTCTGGTCATCCCTGGTAGCACTATTCTAAATGGGCTACTGTTCTGATTTGGTGAGAAGGGCACAGATTGCACTAAACCAGAATATGTTGAGCAAGCCGTGGTGGCCTACTTTGGACAATGCTAAACCATGAATTATTCTGTATAAATCGCAGTCGCTGGGTCCACCCAAGGCATTCAGCCAAAGCTAAACCAGCTACATTATGCTCTGCAGTATAAAGTTTTTGACAGAGTTGGGGTTGATGCTCTTTGCAGCTTTGACTCAGATACCTAAATTTATTGGATCAGTCCTGGCTGGGGATGAACTCCGTCTCAACTCCAGAGGTGCGGAGAGTTGCTCTGAACAAGGAGAAATGGGAACCTGTGTTTGACTTGCAGGTGATCCACATGGATGTCAGAGACAACACTGTGAAACTTGATAACGGCTTGCAGATCTCCTATGACAAATGCTTAATTGCTACAGGTGAGGTCCTAGTGGGTTGATTTTATTTTCTACCTCCCTCCCTCCCTAGGGCTTCTTAGCCACTTCAGTCCAGCAGGACTTCCCCATTTTGGGGGTGGGGAGTGGAGGTGATATCATGGGCATCCCCAGTAGGGACAAATGCTGTTACATACGTAGTAGCCTTTGTGTGACAACATCATTGATTGTGTATCATTGTTTTGGCTTCGCTGCCATTTGCTACAGACACTGTTGGGTGATGGCCAATTGATCCAGCTACTGGAGAACTTTGATCTGAAGTCCAGATGTGAACTTATCCTACTTTCTGTTCTTAGGTGGTTCTCCAAGGAATATTCCTGTGATTGAGAGGGGAGGTCAAGAAGTGGAGAAGAGGCTCACACTCTTCCGGAAGGTAATCCTGAGGAGGTACCTTTATTGTTTGGGCTCATCTACCTCTTAATTTGATAATTGTGTATTAACAGAGCTGTTGATTTAAGAAAAAATTAAAATTAAGTTGATTAGATTATATATTATTTCGCTGATCATTGTGATTTTGCATCCAGTGTTAGTGGGTTATTTTTAACTGTTGTCTGGAAGGAACAAGGGAATACAAATACTGCATTTAAATGAGCGGAAAGAGGAAGAATACAGCTATTCTATTAGATGTTCAGCCAAAACCTGGGATAAATAGCAGATTTTTCAGAAATCTTACTGGGTCTCAAACGCTACAGAAAGCAAATTTGTTTCTTCTACCTGCCCCCTGGCAGGTTTCTGGCCTTTTTTTAAAAGTAATTTTATTAAACATTACAAATAGAAAGATAAAAACTAATACAAACTAAAAAAAAGAATAAAAAGAAAAAATAGAAAGTGGAGAAAAGAAAAAAATAGAAAAGTAGAAAAGAAAGGAAAAATAAGAATAAAGAAAAAGAAATATATAAAGAAATGACTAATACAAACTAAAAAAAAGAATAAAAAGAAAAAATAGAAAGTGGAGAAAAGAAAAAAATAGAAAAGTAGAAAAGAAAGGAAAAATAAGAATAAAGAAAAAGAAATATATAAAGAAATGACTTCCTCCTTCATCACAAGAAGTATGAACAATTTTAGTAGCTTATCATCTTCTCTTAAAATATAACAAATGATATCTTCCCATATCCCATCTCTTATCTATAAACTAATCTTAAAGTCTCATTGTTCAGTCTTGGTGAGCAAAAGTCCATTAAGGATTATCAGGGATAACAATGTATCTGTTTTAACCTTGATCAAATAAACCAACTTTATATTCCTTCCTTTTACTTACAACAATCTTGATCTTTGGTCCCTTCAAATAATGTCCCAGAACTTGATTTCTTTTCATTTTTTCTTTGTCCCTTCTCACAAAATTCTTCAAAGCTTT